AACCTGGAATAAGATTCGATAGATACTTATTACGTACATTAAAGGTTGCCTACATTTCGAGTAAGAGCATAAATTCTCCAAGTATAACAAGTTGAAAGATTTCGAGTATACAACCTCGTCATGCCATATTGCAAAAGCTTCGTCGTCTTCTTCGTATATACTAATCCATAGTCTGTTGGCTGGCAACCCAAATCTGGACGGACAGAAACCATTATCCAATGAAATCTAAAGCAGTAGACTCAGTGACATGTTTATTTATTGATCACGCTATATTAGATCAGTATACTTATAAGTTGTGAGAAGATAAAAGGAGAAGTGTAAGATCCCAATCCCACGTCGGTTGAAGAGAGGAACAAAATATTTCAAATATGGGTGTGGAAACCTCTCCCTCGTAGATACATTTTAAAATCTTGAGGGGGAGCCCTCGAAAGGAAGGTCCAAAGAGGACAGTATCTACTAGCGGTGGGCTTAGACTATTATAAGAAGGTTCGAGGGGCGATGGAACACTGATAGAAAAAGAGAATGATAATACACATTCAACTCTTAGATTAGATGAAGTTGCTAATATCGAAAGAAATATTAGAATTTTATGCTCGAAGAAGCTCATATCTTGGATGTACTTAGCAGCAATATTGTAAAAGTCCAAGCCTACCCCTAGTAGATATTATCCACTTTCGCCCGTTACGTATCGTCGTCAGCCTCACGGTTCTAAAACGTGTTTGTTAGGAAGAGGTTTCCACACCCTTATAAACAATGCTTCGTTCCCTTCTCCAACCTATGTGGGAACTCACAAATATAATATTTATTTGACGACAAATCTTGTCCTGCTTCAATTTCAAATGAGCTTGAAAAATTTTAGAACTTTTGCTAGAATCTCCAAGTATTGTGATAATGTAATTCATTCATACTCGATGGTTGTCAGTTCCCATGCCCACTTAATCGCTTCTTTCTTGAAGTAATCACCAAAACTGAAGTTTCCAAGCATCTCAAAGAACGTATGATGCCGAGCTGTTCGACCTACATTCTCTACATCGTTTGTACGTATGCACCTTTGTGCAGTTGCAGCACAAGGCACCAGTCTAGGTACCTGAAAAATAATGAACAAAAAGAACAAGTTGAAGGTTTTGAAATTCAAACTAGCTCAAGATATAACATAAACAATTACTTTTCAGGAAGAAAAACAACAAACTAAAGAAAAGAAAGAGAGAATAATAGCTTCAAAATAACTCAACAGTATATTACTAAGCTGCTCTAAAGTATCTTTACTCCAATAGTTCCTCTTCTAAAACATCCCGGTACATAATGTAATAGTCCAAACCCACTGCTAATAGATATTGTTCGCTTTGGCTCGTTACGTATCACCGTCAGCCTCACAATTTTAAGGAATATTTCGTTCCCCTCTCCAGCCAATATGAGATCTCACACAGAAGTCAGAAGTCACTACAAGGACGACATGACACCATTTTCCATAAGATTTGGAAGCCACAGTAGGTGCGAAGAAAAATTCCCTATCCCGCCCCCTTAATATTCTTTTGTTCCTCCCTAGGGGTATCCCCTCAAAGAGCGACCCTAACCACATTACACCAAAGCCTAGGTGCTTTCTTTGAAAGGATAGCCCATGAGAAACTGAATATTACAGTCTTTATAACAAAGAAAGAACACAACACGCATACCAAAACAATGTTATCATCCAGTGCATCTTCCAAGCAAAGGTATGGTGAAAGAATGTTAAGTCGATTTTAATGCAATAGAATTTAACATGAGCTTTAACTACGTGCGTGTCATACCTTTCCAAGGAATATAGGCTTGAATTGAAGCATTCCTGCAATTGTCAACAAAACCGTGGGGTCTTCTGGGACCAAAGAAGCACTGGGAAGAACTTTGTGTCCACGGGAAGCGTAAAATTGAAGAAACCTACGACGAATAGAATCCCCAGTCACTTGGAGATCCTTGGACTTATCCTCTACTAATTCCTCATTCACTGGTTTCACAGATGCTGAAACAGTGAAAAGTCGAAATGTAAGAATTCGGTGAAGCGTTAAAACGACAAATGAAAAATTTGCAAGTCGAGAATATAATTTTAATCAAACTGACTGATATACTTCTTGTTTTGAGTTGTGTGCCCCGAGCTTCGTTTGGAAGAAAATGTCTGTGACAATCCATGGTGGACGGAAAAGGGGCAGAATTCCTTGTAATATAGCCTGTAATATCCCGAAAGCTGATATTCAGAACATAATAGGTCAGCCGGAAGAACGAAAAAGGAGTTAACGATCCTAATAGAACTCATAGCATGTTGGGGCATCAATATTTCTTCATAAAATGAAATTGTAACAGTCTAGTATCATATGACCACGACCAACAATACTACGATGCAGTTGGACTAGTACTACACGATCGAAGGGGCTGGCCAGAAGGTTTGTAATTCTGGTGTTCATGTAAATTCAGAATAATCATTTCATGGTCAATAAAACAGAACTAGATCATCTAGCAAACATATAGGCTATGCTGAGTTATTTCTTGGTGAATCCTTTATGCTCTATTTGGCATAAGCATTTGGTACGAAATAATTTCAAATTCCTATTTGTGTTTCGAACCAAATTGATTTGGAATCACTTCAACTAAAATTTCTTGTTTCGATGCTCTCGAGATACGTAAAGAAAGTATAACATTTTATCGTTAGGCCCTTCACTGAAATTGATTTATTCTGTGGTTGATTTATTCTTCAACCAGTGTACAAAAACATAAAACTAAGAAGTATTACAAACAGATTAGGAGGGGAAAAAAACATATTATTCTTATCCAAATCAATAAATAAAAAGAAAATTTTGTTTAAGAAGATGAATGAAGCAAAAAGAAAGAACAAAAAAGCATATTGATCTTATCAAATCAATAAATAAAAAGAAAAAAAAATGTTTAAGAAGATGAACAAAGCAAAAAAACTAAAACTAAGACTAAAAAACTCACCTCCAGTTTGCTTGGCTATAAAAAAAATTGTTGGGTTGAAAGCAAATAACGTTTGCAGGTTAAGACAATCAGAATCAGATTGTTAAAACGAAATTAGATATTGCTAGGAATTACGAACCTCCACAATGGTATGATATTGTCCACTTTGAGCATAAGCTCTCATGGTTTTGCTTTTAGTTTTTCCAAAAGACCTCATTCCAATGGAGATGTATTCGTTAACTTATAAACCCATAATCAACCCCTTAATTAGCCGATGTAGGACCTTCTCTCCCAACAATCCTCAACAATCCTCCCTCGAACAAAGTACACCATAAAAGCTCCCCTGAAGCCTATGGAGCCCTCGAACAACCTCCCCTTAATCGAGGCTTGACTCCTTCTCTAGAACCCTCGAACAAAGTACACCATTTGTTCAAAACGTAAGTCACTTTTAACTACATCTTCGAGACTCACAACTTCTTTGTTCGACATTCGAGGATTCTATTGACATGCCTAAGTTAAGAGCATGATTTTGATACCATGTTAGTTTATTATGAACCTCCACAATAGTATGATATTGTCCACTTTGAGCATAAGCTCTCATGATTTTTCTTTTCCCAAAAGGCCTCACCCCAATAGGAGATGCATTCCTTAACTTATCAACCCATGATCAATCCCTTAGTTAGAATGTGGGACTCCACTCTCAACAATTCTCGACATATATAGATATCAACTTGTAACCTACTGATAACTAAAAAACACCAAAGAAGAAGAGCAATGAAGTTAAAAGACACAGAACAATCAAGCGCCATTGCACATCAAGAATCCAATAACTCAACCATTGTTCGAGCGGGGGGGCTCCTTCGAAACTCAGATTCAGAAATATCGTACAAAACGGAACTAATCATTGATAATTGATTATTATTCAGATGACCCAGATACTTAAAAATCAATCCAGCCTCAGAAACAAACAAGCTACACGGCATTCCACGGTTTCCCTCAAATGGGTTCAAAACGTTCCGCAAGTTAATTCTCAAGCTCTAAATTGATAGAAAGATAGAACAAAATCGGAGAAGTACCTGAAGAGCACGTAACTTTCCGTCTGGGTCGCGCGAGGGAGGCAGGTTTGTTGCCATACAAGCTTGAACGTTGAAGTGGAGTAAGAGAGTTATGGCCATAACTACGAGGCGGATGATTTGGGAGCTTCAAGGTGAACTCCATTGACGAGCAGTGCTCCCAATTCCTAGAACTTAATCCTAGGAAGTATGATTTTTTGAAGTATGGTTTGTATTTTATGTGCTGAATTGAGATTGAGGAGGAAGAAGAAGATAAGTTCGATTGAGAGGACCAGACATTTTGGAAGCTTCAGCTGAAGAAAGCTGAAATCGAAGTGTGGGCACCGTGAGCCCACAAAACTGCTCTCCAAATTTTAATTCTTTTTTTTTTTTTTTTAATTTTGCATATAAAAATAGACTAAATTTTAGTTTTAAAAATTTTATTTATAATAAATTTTGAAATTTTATAACAATTTAATTTCTTAGCAATTTAATAGTCGTAATTTCAAAAAATTAATTAATAATTCTTTTTCTTATTTTTTTTTTGGCTTTTTTAATTTTTTATTCCTAAATTACGTACAATATAAAATATTTAATTTTTAAAATATAAATTGTACTCAATATTTACCATTAAAAATTTATATAATTGTGTTAAAATTATTTATTTGAAGATAATATTAAGATTGAATACAAAATAGATAATTTAATTAATTAAAATTAGTTTAATAATTTAAATTAATAAAATTTAAATATTTTATACATAGGCGATGAACAAATATTTTCCATGTTTTCCATAAATCGGCCTTCTTCCTTTGTAATTCCGCCATTAAAGAGCTCATCTCTGTACCTTCTGCATCTTAAACAGGTACCCTTGTTCTTCAAACAGCCTCAATATCTACCAAACAAACAAGCAACAACTCCATTCAAATCAATCTAAACACAATACCCCATTGATCGAATCCCCGATGAAAACAGAAATTTTACCGTTTTCATCGTTGGCCTTCTCGAAGAAGAATCCAGCAGGCAGAAGCGTGCCGCCATCAACATTGCCTCCATTTCTTCCTTGTTGTAGTTCTTCAAATTCGGGTCAATTAGTTGATTTCCTTGGCCGCAACTGAGTAGAGGTCTTGCCTGTAAGTGAATGAGACGAACATGAATTTGATTGATCTGTGTTTTTTTTTTTTGTTCATCGCATTGAGTAATTTGCAGTAGACATTATTGTTGTTCGTTATTACCCAGAGTACCAAGCTTCCATGGCTGTTCTGATTTGTTTGAATCGCTTCTTTGCCTGTGATGAGTTCTAGAAGAACAACTCCATAGGAGTAGATATCTATTTTCTCGTCGATTTTTCCATACATGATGTACTCTGGAGCTAAGTATCCAAATGTCCCAACAATCTTGCATGGCTTTGTGTTGGATTGTTCATTTTGAGACTGTTTGAGCTCTGTTGCTTCCCCAAAATCTGCTAACTATGAATGGAAACACCAAATTTAAGCAGTGATTTTGAAAATGTAGATGGTTAGTGTTAGGAATTACGACACTTAACAATGGTATGATATTGTCCACTTTGAGCATAAGCTCTCATGACTTTGCTTTGGGCTTCCCCAAAAGGCCTCGTACCAATGGAAATCTATTTCTTACTTATAAATCCATGATCTACTCCTAAATTAGCCAACGTGGAGGGGACTCCCTCCCAACAATTCTCCCATCGAACAAAGTATACCATAGAGCCTCCTCTGAGGCCTTGTAGCCCTCGAACAGCCTCTCGTTAACCGAGACTCAACTCCATTCTCTGGAGCCCTCGAACAAAGTACATCATTTGTTCGACACTTGAGTCACTTTTGACTACACCTTCGAGGCTAGCAACTTCTTTGTTCGATACTTGAGGACTCTATTGACATGACTAAGTTAAGGGCATGGATCTGATACCATGTTAGGAATTACGACTCTCCACAATGGTATGATATTGTCCACTTTTAGCATAAGCTCTCATGGTTTTGCTTTAAGCTTTCCCATAAGGCCTCATACCAAGGGAGATCTATTCCTTACTTATAAACTCATCTCAACGGGTAGAAATGTGATTGACTTACTTGGGGTTGGAAGTTATCAAAGAGGAGGATGTTTGAAGACTTTACATCTCTGTGGATGATTGGAGGGTTGCAAGAATGATGAAGATGATTCAATGCTTTTGCTACTCCAATCGCAATCGCCACTCTCTCCTTCCACTCCAGTTTTCTTAGATATTGATTTAGGCTTCCTTTAAGCAAATTGTACACAATTGCCTGCATGTTTTTATCACTACAAAATCCAATAAACTGAACTATGTTCTCATGTTTTATCTTAGATAAGATTTCAACTTCCTGAACAACATCGTCGGATTGAGAATCCGAGCTTAGAACTTTCACTGCTGCTGCTTGTCCATCTTCGAGGTTAGCTCTATACACCTTGCTATGCCCACCTTCACCAATCACCATTGCAGGATCTAAATTGTTGGTTGCATAGTTGAGCTGTTCTGATGTAAACTGCCTTTTGATTCTTTTTGGATATTGCAGTGATCTAGAACTAGGTAACAATTCATGAAGTGCAAAGTTGAGAAATGGCTTTTCTTTCTTGGAGATTTTCTGTTTTTCATTTGCTTGTAGAGAAGAGCGTAGCGTCGAACTCTTCTGTAGGTCACGGATATTAGTTTGTTGATATCCTGAATGCGAAGATCGTAAAACCGCTCTTTCGGAGCCTTGTTGCGAAGTTCCTTGGTTTTGAAATAGAATTTTGCCTAGATTGTCCATCACCATAAGAGTGCAAGTAGGAGGCAAGCCTTTTAGGCAGGTACTGAAAACTGAATAATCAGGTCTGCAGCAAAGGACCTTATAAGAAACTAAGAGGAAGAAGGAAAGAGGGTTGGAAGGGAGAGTTCATATGTTTCATCCAATACCTTGAAAGGCTACATCCAAGTACCAAAATACTGGCGTAGCTTTCTCGTACTTGACGGGTTAAGTTCGAAATATAAGGAGCGGTTTTGCTTACCTTAACCTGTAAATCGACCTGAAAAAACCAAAAAACTAATCAGTTGAAACCCAATAGAGAAGACCATCTTATTAGTTTCTGTAATTCAAGTAAGACTGATAATGGTGATAAATACCTGCTTGGATTTGCAAATATCTTCATGGATGTGGAAAGTATTTGGATTGAAACTATCATTTGGCTCTTGAACATGAATAGCCAGAACGTAATCTCCCGGATTAACGAGTGTCGTAAGCAACCAAAGGAGGATATCTCTGCTTCCATTGTCAGAATTTAGACCGATGATGATTGTCCTCTTCTTCCGAGTCTTGGGCTTGATGAGTGACAACATTTCTGAGAAGATAGTGAAGAAAGTTGATCCCTATTCTAAGCAGAATGAACACTAGACCTTATTAGGTTGCAACTCTGATGATTACTGTTTGATCTTGTCTCTACAGCATTAAAAGACTTCAAATGTAGATTACATATGAACCATTCCATCACAGCTTGAAGGGTACCCCTCCATTCTTCTGTCTTTCTCACATCACATCACCTTCCTTTACCCCACATCTTGTCTTTGTCATATCATCTCTCCATAGTTTTGATTCCTTTTATTGGTCATGGAATGATAAGGCAACTATACACCTGTCTGGATCTCTTTGAGCTAATCAAGGTGGATATTGTCTATGGTGAATGTCATTGATGTTTTGCTGCAGGAAAAAAGGAGGGAGGAAGCAGCTTCTGGCTAGATGGCAATGATAAAATAGAACAGTACGGTCACCAGCCGAGCTGCACCATTGTTCATGGTGCGTGGGAGTCCCCGAAAGGACATGAAACTGTCTGGACAGGAAGGGAGAGAGAGAGAGAGAAAACGAGTGGCAAGCCCACCACTAGGAGATATCGTCCGCTTTAGTCTGTTACTTATCGCGGTTAACCTCACGGTTTTCAAACGCGTCTACTAGAGAGAAGTTTTCACACCCTTCTAAAGAATGTTTTGTTCCCCTCTCCATCCGACAATTGTGAGATCCCACATTGATTAGAGAGGGAAACAAAACATTCCTTAGAAGGGTGTGGAACCTCTCCCTAGTAGACGCATTTGAAAACCGTGAGGTTGACGACGATACGTAACTAGCCAAAGCGGACAATATCTCGGCGGTTTGCCAGTGAGAATGTTGGACTCGGTTGGAAGGAGGTGGATGGTGAAATCGCACATCGATTGAAAAGGGGAACATAAAACGGACAATTATGTCCAAAAAGAATAAACAAGCCTTTTTGTAATGGCATTATCATCCAACTGGACAGGCAAATCTAGACTGTGCATGAATGGCAGTGGTAATTAAGCCTTTTTTCTTTCTTTCTGTAATGGCATTATCATCATTGTCTCATTCAGCCAACACCCTCCATTAAAAGGGTTCCCCCAACACTCTACATTGATAGCACATTCATTTCCTCACCTGTTTAGGGAGTGAAGTGCAAAAGTGCTTTTATTCATCTTCAGGCAATACTACTTATACTTATTCATCTTCACCCACCGCTATATTGCAAACAAAATGACAATCCAACTCAATATATTTCTACGTTCACGAAACACTGGATTAGATGCAATGTGAGCAACAACTTCATTATCATAAAATAAGAGTGTTCACGTCGAAAAGGAATCTAATGATCCTTTAATGAGTGAGTAGTTCACTCAAACACACGAGCATTAATGGCTTAAAGATCTTCAATTACATCAAGCTGCAAGGAAATTGTGCAACACAATATTGGCAAGAACAACACTTGCTCGTAATAAGCTTTGTTACCAACAAGAACATATTTACGGAATCCAAGTCTTCTCGTCTTTGTACCATTTAAAAATAAGTCAAATCTTGTAATACTCGATAGATCTATCTATTAGCTTCACCGTATACTCTTATCTAGTAAATTCATTCACTTGTTTTCAATAGAATGGTTTCTACGCCCAAAAATTGGTTTGTTATATATATATATATATATATATATATATATATATATAGATTATGGTTATTTAATATAAAAGAAAAGAAAAAAAAATGAATGAACTACGAAACAAATGAATCTCTTGAATTGAAAACTTTTGAGCATCCATTGGGCTTTTGGCCCATTTAAGAAGTGGGCTTCAATGGCTTCATATTGGCCCTAAAACAATCAATTAATAAACAATCATAATTTTTTAAAAAAAAAATCTTATTTTTTAAAAAAAGAAGAAATTCAAGTTAAATTAATAAATGCAAGGATTGAAATTGGAAATTCCAAGAATACCCTTTGACAAGAATATGAAGCAATCAATAGAGTTATTGGTATTTACAATAATGAATGAAATTATAACGTGACAAATAATGTTGCATGCTCCACCCATAAATATTTGTTTGATGCATTAATTTCAGCCCAAATTACATTACTATAAAATTTTATCCTATGCTCATATCATTGGTTTCAATTATTATTATTTTTTTCTTTTTGGTCTCAACGGTCAAAAATGTTTTTAGTGGTTAGTCCCTATAAATTCTATTATACCAAACCCTACGTACCACCTTCAATAATGCTATTTAACTTATATATAAAAAATAATAATGAACCTTTATTCGTCCTTTTAAATAATTTTTTTTTTCTAAAAAAAGACTTAGTAATTGAATACATTAAATTTTAGAAAATAATTATAAAAAATATCTTTATCGTTAGTTTTGAATGGGAACAGATAATATTTTGTTTCAAAAATATAAGAAAATAATCAAGGTGAAGACTTGCCCTAAAAATGATATTTTTAATTATTTTTGAAATGGAATAAAATAAACCGATGGGTAAACTTGCACGGAATTGACCATCTACTTACTTTGAGCAATAGCGAGGAGCCGACGTCTTATTTGACTAACCTATGGTGTATTCTGGCTAAGCATCGGGTTGTTGACAAAGAACATAGGGGCCTAGTATGTTTTCGAAAGAGAAGACGACAGTAGTAGTTCAAATGGCGAAGAGAAGAATGAATAAAATATCGTCAAAGATGACTTCTCTCTCGACATATAATTATCGAGGTGGAAGTTATTCTCTCGGAAATTTGTTTTTTTGTCATCTTAGTGGTTCTGGTATAATGAACTTTCACTTAAACGGTCAATACTCTAATTTTCTTTTCGATTGTAACACCCTTAGAGAGTAGAGAGATATTATTCTTTATCAGCTAAATGAGAATAAGAGAGGAGTTTTTGCAGGGACGATGAATAAAATATGTGACATTCCACATTGGTTGGGGAGGAGAACGAAACACCTTTTGTAAGGATATGGAAACCTTTCTCTAGCAAACGCGTTTTAATGCTTTGAGGGGAAGCGCTTGAGAAAAAGCTCAAAAATGACAATATCTACTAGTTGTAGGCCTGGGCTGTTACAAAATAGGAGGCGGGAACAAGGACGAGGATAGAGACGGAGACGAGAAAGACTTCTTTGTCCCTATCCCACCTCGTTTCACGAACGAAGGACAATGAGGGTCAACATCTTTCAAGACTCGAGGCTTGAGTAGAGAGATAGTTTCGATCTACGTTTATCTAGGGCATGTAGTGTTCAAATATATTTAACCAAACATACAATTTATTGATGTTTCAAAGTTTAATAATTATTTTTCGATAAAAAACGTACTTCAAAATAAATATTAATTAGACGAAATTAACTCAATTCTTACCTAACACATCACTCTACTTAAATAGTTCGGACAAGTAATTATTGAGCTATGACAATTATAGATAACACTCACACCCTCTCGACTTTAACTTTTAATAATGTTTTCATTCAAGATTTTGGTTATGATAACTGTGTTTTATGTTACATATGAAATATTATCAGAATTTCATTAAAAAAACTGTTCGAGAATCAAAATTATGAGTACATTTAACTCGACTACTAAGTCAAATCATTACATTCATGTTGCTTATGGCTACATGACATATGTTCCAGTGTTGCTTGTTCGAGTCAGTTGACAGAGACGTCAACCAATTGAGTGGGGGAGGATGACATAGTCATGCTTGTCCAAGGCGTGTTGTCTATGGTTGTGCCCGTTCCAAACCCCTTTTTCATGCTTTTATCTAAGATAGCCCTTTACCATTTCATATCGGGTCAATATGGGGGTGTATGACCGTTCACCAAAATCACATCTACACCCGCCTGCACAAAAATGCCTCAAAATGTACTATAGGGGGATATGACTAGTTGTCAACTTCTCCCTGCCCAATATTTATATGTACTAAGTCATTGTTATTACCTTTTGCTTACATTCTCATATAACACCAATTTCAATTTCTCAAATCTTGCTTTCAAAACTCTCTACTCCCGTTTTCTAAAACTTTATTCTTGAATCGGGGCCAGAGACTCGAGCATACGTCGCTTGGTCGTAGGCGACGCAAAAACGAACAAGCTTAACTCACTTGTAAAAATAAGTGATGCACAATTACAAATCCGCTGTAATCAAAGTACGATTGTGACAAGTGTATTTAATATTTAAAAAAAATAATTAAAACATTAAAATTTCAAAATTTTATTTACATCACATTAGAAATTCATCTTATAATATAAAGAGAATTATTAATATGAAAAATAGGATAAAGCATTTGATATATTAATAAAAATTTAATAACTTTGGATGAAAAATTAATAAACAATTATTTAACCAAACATTTAAAAAGAAATGAAAAAAATAATAATAATTATTCAACAATTGGTAAAAAGAGAAGGATAGCGATAAGACGAAGAGCATGAGCAATGAATGAGAATGGGACCCACCACGTTGGGGTATCAGAGATGGACGGCTGTGATCTAATCTCACGAATCAAAACATTGTGGGGTCCAAATTCTGAAACTCACAAGTGAAACAAAGACAAACGGCACCCCAAAGACTGCTTGCCTCCAACATTAATCTTCCCCGACCATCCGACCTGGCCTTTGGGCCCCACTTTGTCCATGTGGTCCTACACGTCACCCCCTATTTGTGTGTAGATCACGTTAGTCTATCGCCACCCCTCGAGCAACTTGGCAGGGTCGAATGTCAAGAGATGACTAATGAGACTTACGAGATGCACCTTCTTGCTCTAGCAAGCTCGTCGACTTGACCTAAAAGGTGAGTCGAGAGAGTCAATGTTATGGATATGAATGTCTCCCTATATGTAACGTTAATTGAACGTCATATGTAGAGATCCACTTGAGGTAGACACACTTACTAATTTAGCATTGGATAATATTCAAAAAGGACGATATATCTTAACAGTGGGTTTGAACTTGGGTTGTTACAAATGGTAGCATAGCTGGATACTAGATAGTGTGCCAATAATAACGTTGAGCCCCGGAATAGGGTGGATTGTTAGATATCACATCGATTGAAGAGATGAACGAGTATCAACGAGGATGCTGGGCCCTGAAGCAAGAGTGAGTTGTAAATAGCATAATAAGGTGGGCTTGGACTATTATATTCAATACCTTTATTTTTTACCTGGATGATAGCACACTATGAATGAATATTTGACTTGATAGTCGTTGTAGGTCGAGTCTCGAACTAATTTGGAGCCATATCAGCTCGTTTTATAAAATGTTGGTTGTGGAGGCAAATTACCCTTTTCTCCCCCTCATAAAATTCAAATTATTATAACCTAAATTAAACATTAGCCTAAAAACACTAATAATCTCTTATAAATTCTTATTTTAAAAAATAAAATACAATACATTATAAATCAAGTACAGCAGCGTTACGTATAAACAATGTGTACGAATCGAAACGGCCCATTTTCAGCCGTCTGATTCCCGTAGGATGACTCTGATCTGGACAAGTGGCGGATTGACTTTCTAGGTCGAAGTCTATTATATGCTACAACTCGTAACGGAGCGGTTTCTCCGCCACTCCACGGCGATGCGAACTCGGATCGGCAAAATATCAGCGGTCCATAATTGCTTTGATTGCCGATTAATTGGCTGATCATGGGATGGGAAACTGCCGTTTCTAATAAATCGCGTATTGAATTGGGTGCGCGCCCAAATTTAATGTTATACTCGGCAACGTTACGGATATTTAAAATAAATACATAAACAAATAAATTTAGATTAATAAAATTTATTTCATTACCATGAAAATATAATTTTAAAAAAAATGTATTTAATGTTTGTGACATCATATACTATATATAGAGGTACAGTTTAAATTTTAATATCATGAACTAAATAAATACCGTTCAATTTAGAGGAAATTGACGGTTTTTATAATTCAAATGAAACATCATTTATATTTGCATGCTTTAATTGAATTATTATTTAAATTTAGTATCTAGATGAGTTATTATGGTTAGTTTACATTAACTTCAATAATATTTTTTTTTTATATAATATTATAAAATTCATATCACCAACTTTTGAATTTATGCCTTATTAATAAAATTTAATCAGGTTGACCCAATGATTAGCAAGAGGCTCTACGAGAAACTGTTGCATGATCTCTAGTCCCTTAATTGCGAGATCGAAAACTGAGGGACGGAACATGCAACTAGCCTACACCTTTCGAACCATTTTTCAACTTTTTTTTTAAGAATAATATGAAGGGGATAAAATAAAATAATATTGCTTCAAATGATATATGAAATATTAAATAATGCTAATCACGAGCATTAAAAAAGTATTTATAAAAAAAAAAAGTCCACGTCATCGCTAAATAGTCCAGCCTGGCAAAAAACGGAATGGTTGAAATTATAACAGTGGGGCCAGGAGTAAACGAGGCGTGTCGGGTGCAAAGACCTACTGTTACGGAAAGACAAAGCTGCTCCAAACGGCGTCGCTTTTGCTTTTCCCTCTCTCTCTCTCTCTCTCTCTCTCTCTCTCTCTCTCTCCTCCATCGTCATCATCACACCGATGGCTTTTTTCTAGAGAGAGTTCAGTGGGAGTAAGAACCACAGACGAGTTTCCATTCCTTTTTGTTCTTTTTTTTTTTTTCCTCTCTTTTAACGATCCATTATCGTTTCCTCTGTAAGTTATTCTCTGTTTGTTTCAGTTTCAGACGATTCCGGCATCCATTTTTCTTCGTCTCTTTGTTCTGCATCAACGAATGTGCGTCTGAGAGTGGCTCTTGGAGATGGCTAGTGTGTCCTCCGACGACGGCTCCGACCAACTGAGCGACCGGTGTGGGAGCTACAGTTTGAGTGCGGATGTGAGTGAATCGGAGAGTTGTAGTAGCTTCTCGTGCAGGAGGTTTGATGGAGAAGGGGCTTCCAGTTCTATGGCGTCGTCGCCACATCCTGTTTCTGGTCATTTTTGCTTTCCGCCGCCGGTTTCCTTGCCGGTGATCGGAGGGAAGGATGTTCTTGTTTGGGATGGGAAGGCTAAGAAACGAGACGATGATTTATCTGGTAATTTTTTTTCCCCTCTTTTAGCTGGCATTATCAGATCAGGAATGTTCTATTAAGATCAGAACTCACTCATTTTCTTAATTGGAGATCTCAATCTTATCTCTCGTTGTATTTTGTGCAGAAGTTGAGATGATGAAGGAGAGATTTGCGAAACTCCTCCTTGGTGAAGACATGTCAGGAGGAGGGAAAGGGGTTTGCACCGCCCTGGCTATCTCAAATGCCATCACCAATCTCTCTGGTAGATCTTCCATTTGATCCTCTTTCAAGTAATTGTAACAATGTATTCATTCTGTAGTGTGCTTATGAACATTTCTGATACCAATTTCAGCTACTGTATTTGGTGAACTATGGAGATTGGAGCCACTAGCGCCACAAAAAAGGGCAATGTGGCATAGAGAAATGGAATGGCTTCTATGTGTTTGTGATTCCGTTGTAGAGCTTGTTCCTACGGTTCAGCCGTTCCCTGGCGGAGGTACTTATGAAGTAATGATGTTGAAACCACGCTCAGACTTGCATATGAACCTCCCGGCGTTGAAGAAGCTCGATGCGATGCTTCTCGCTATGCTTGATGGGTTTTGCCATACGGAATTTTGGTATGTTGATCGAGGGATAGTTCTTGGTGACTTGAACGACTGCAACAACAACTTCCTGCCCGGTGGGAGGCCTTCGATTAGGCAAGAAGATAAGTGGTGGCTTCCATGCCCTAAAGTTCCTGCAGATGGTTTGTCTGAAGATGCAAGAAAGAGGCTGCAGCAATGCAGGGATTGTACTCATCAAATACTCAAAGCAGCCATGGCAATCAATAGTAATGTTCTTGCAGAAATGGAAGTTCCTACTGCTTACATGCAAACTTTGCCCAGGGTAAGCGTTTGCAACTCAGCTTGAATTTCTCTGTTAGCCCTTCATATATTCATATCTGCTCCTGATGTTCTTTATAACTTTTGATCACAAATGGGAAAGTTCAATGAGTTCTTGATACCTGTTGTTCATCTTTGGCATGATTCAATGTTTTATAAGAATCAAATAATCTGATCTTCACGTACTTCTGATACCCATTGGTCATCTGATTAAGAAACAAGTATATGATGATTAGTTTTCCTTTTCTTTTCTCTCCACATGTTGAATAGAGTGGAAAAGCTTGCTTGGGAGATATTGTTTATCGCTACATAACCGCCGACCACTTCTCGCCTGAATGTCTCCTCGATTGCTTAGACCTTTCATCGGAGCATCACACGCTGGAAATAGCAAACAGGATTGAGGCATCAGTTCATATTTGGAGGCTAAAAGACCAGAAAAGAAGTGGTCACCGCAGCACGGGAAGACGACCAACTTGGAGTGGGAAGGTGAAAGGTATGGTTGCTGTCCCTGGGAAAAGTCACAATATGGCCCGGAGAGCAGAGACACTGCTTGAAAGTCTAAGACTAAGATTTCCAGGGTTACCACAGACAGCATTGGACATGGCCAAAATCCAATATAACAAAGTAATTCCTTCAATTCCTTTATAGTTTAGCTCTCTGCAACTCTTTGGAATACTAAAACCATTGAAAATGGCCTTGTCTAATGCCAAAAACTTCCCTGCAGGATGTGGGGCAATCAATTCTTGAAAGCTACTCAAGGGTGATGGAGAGTTTGGCTTTCAACATCATGGCACGTATCGACGACGTTCTATACGTCGACGATGCAATCAAGCAATGTGTCAAAGCAGAGTCGATCTCCCTTTTCAACAGAGGTTTGGGTGGCCTTCCAATCCAGAAACGTATGTCTCCCAGCCCTTTCTCAATCCACCACAGCCCATTTGCCTCTCCATTTGGAACTCCAACTTTCTGCTCCTCTACTCCCATTGAAGGAAGCCCAGAAAGACTCTCCACATCCCCAACTGTAAAAAGAAGCAAAGTCAAAGAAACTCCAGATGTTCTAAGACCTGATAAACACAGCCAAGCTGCTGGTAATGAGAAAATTTGGTCATATGCTGGGAACCTCAGTGGTAGAAGAATTTCTGGAGTCACTCCAGAACGAGACTGATAATGTTTGACAGTGGTCCATTATAATATCTAAACAAGAAACTCTTCATACCCTACTGTAAATTACTTGGCCATTAGAAATGTAGAAGGGACAGTCTTAGAAGGAGAGAGAATTTTTGCTATACATTTCTTATATGCTTCTAATGTAATTATTTGCAATGTGTCCAAAAAAGTGAATTTGGTGTCAGCTTTTTCAGCCTTAGGAACAAGCACGAGGCGATTGACAGAGTCCATTAGGAATATGTTTGGGATAAGAATGGCTTCTTCTTCTTCCCACTATAAACTATTAGGATGGCTGTCTTTAGAAGCAAGATGATCATAATTGTTCTCTAGTGAAGCTTTTGGAGTTGCCCTGGGAAATCATTGCAAACTCCTCCAGCCCACATTCCATTTTCTAGTCTGTTCTTGGCCTGTTTTTTGCTTTACTCTATTCACAACTCTCACTCTCATTTCATTGTTTTTCTTTGGAGTATCAAGGCTTTTGTTATAGAGAATCCATTCATATAACAAAGCGAGCTCGAAGAAATTCAAATCATGTATGTTTTTGTTCGATTGTCTAGCGTATCAATGAGCCATCCACCACATCCTTTAAGCATAAAAATGTTCAATTATGATGTACTCTAGCCATGAGGAAAGTAGTATATGTTAAACACATAAAATATTCAATTAGGATATACTCTAGCTATGAGTAAAATAGTATATCAATAAGTTATACAGCCATTTTTATTAAATTTAATACTATTTTATGTTAAAAATCATCATAATGGTCAAATTTTAACCATTCGACACGTAAATTATACATCTTATTGATAAATGAAATTTATGGCTATCTGTGAATGTTCAAGTCAACTTGCATGCATATCATTGACTGCTCTTTTCACGAGATTATCATTATGTTTGGTTACCAAAGTGGCTGGTGAGATATCAAACTATAGGAAATGAAAATCATTTCGATCTCAATTTTTTCAATAGATAAGTTCACTGACACCAAAGGAGTTCAGAAAATGGTTCACATATCATCAAAGTTCACATCAGATGGAGGAAGGCTCAATTACAAGTATCAAATCAGGCTCAATTACAAGATTCAATTTGTCTAATGCAAGGAAAAGGAATTTACAGGCTCATCATCAAGATCCTCTATCCACATCCATGGAAGGTTAGCACAGGCAGTGGCAACGAACACCAAAGCAACTGTATTCAAATTAATGAAGTAAACACTTTATTTATGAACAGCTTACCTGTAAACTGCCGTGTAAATTTCAGGTTTCACCTTCAGATAAAAGCTGGAATGAAGTATGACAACCATGGCACAGATTGAATAGACTGCAGGATTGTAGGCCACTGCTGCTAACTCTGACAACACATTAGATAGGCAAGAATCGTTACTTGTTTGGATACCCAATATCAATATGCAATTACATTGAAATTGGTTTATCACGTTTTAGCTAAAAGAACAAGAAATTGATTTCTCATATCTGATCCTAAGAGAGTCTACATGAAGCATCCACTTTCGAAGGCAAGAGCTCTTCTGATAACTGCACAGCTACGTTTTCCCTCTTGCCACTGAGATGAATTCTAAAAGCAGAAGGTGCAAAATCTCCCTTAAACACCGGCTAGAAGACCACTATTTTTTAAGGAAAGAGGTCAGATTTTCACATCTATTTTGGCAACATATTTTGAATAGAAGTAATGCTTAGTTCCATAAAACAATTTGGTTGATGAAGTGTGAGATCCCACGTGGTTAGAGAGGGGAACGAAGCATTTCTTATAAGGTGTGAAACCCCTTCCTAGTAGATGCATTTTAAAACCACAAGGCTAACAGTAGTACATAACGGGCCAAAGCGGACAATATCTGCTAGCAGTAGGCTTGGGCGGTTACAAATGATATAGAGCCAGACACCGAGCGGTGTGTCAGCGAGGACGCTGGGCCCGTAAGGGGGGTGGATTGTGAGATCCCACATCGGTTGGAGAGGGGAACGAAGCATTCCTTATGAAGGGTGTAGAAACCTCTCCTTAACAAACGCGTTATAAAAACCGTGAGGCTGACAATGATACGTAATGGGCTAAAGCGGACAATATCTTTTAGCGGTGGGCTTGGGCTGTTACATAAACTTTCTAGAATGAGAATTTCTTAAACCCAGAACTTTTCATGTATTTTCATTCTGCTTCAACTCTGAATTCTTTCGTCCAATAAGTTTTCCCCCCTAAATAAAAATATTTGATTATAAAAAGCAATTCAAAACATAAAAACTTCCAAATAAGCTACAAAAAAACACTCCAAATTTTGAGAAAATGACAGAAGGAACTAAGAGAAAACTCCATTTCTTTCCAATCAAATGTTCCCAAAACAAGTCTGACAACATTAGAACGAAGTTTCTATCTGAAAAGAACACCACCGAAGAGAGAACATGTCTTGAATCTAGTTAGTAAAAGCAAAGCAAACCCCAAAGGTGTTAGTTAAGAAGATTCCAATAACATTCAGTCACAAACTGTCAATCAACGTATAAGTGTTTATAAACTTAGAAGCATGCAATCAAAGAGCGCAGCAATTAAGTTGGAAAGAGCAGATAGGATTCCTTTGTTTAATCTTATCATTCAGTGTGTCCAGAGAAAAACTGACTATCTTACAGAACTCCTGTGAGATCCGTAAGAACGAAACATTCTTTATAAGAGTGTGGAAACTTCTCTCTAGCAAACTTGTTTTAAAAACCTTGAAGGAAATCCTAAAAAGGAAAGCCCAAAGAGGACCTGCTAGCGGTGGGCTTGGGCTGTTACAACTTCCCTTCCTCCTTCCATACCAATTGAAGGGCCTATAGAAGGTATAATTCAAATATAGAATTCTGTAACATTTCTTCTTTTCATATCCATATCGATTGAGGGGATTTTTTTTTTACAATCTTCTTTCATGGTAGAGGGAGATTCCTGGTCTCTCCTCTCCTCTTTCTGTTTTTCTTCATTGCCCAATTTTTCACTCATACAAAAGTTCATCAAACATCCAACATCTTTAAATTCCTAATCAATTGAATGATCATCAGATTCAATATATTGAGACAATCTTCAAAGCCAGGCCACTAGCTTATTCACTCAACAAAAATCATTATGCAGGATGTAATGTTTCAGTAGGAAAGTGAAAAAAAGAAGAGATTTACGAAAACTGAAACAGGATGGAAAAACGCAATGAAGCTTTAGATTGAACGATACTTACTCCTGACATGGATGTGATCCAATGTGGGGGTGGCCAGAACAACAATGAATACTCAGCATGTCGAGATAAAGGCGATATACTTCCATCCTCCAAGCAAAATATAGCAATGTCACTACCCTTAAACTCACCATCGTCTTCCTCACAGGGACAGGGGAAACCGTCAATAAAGACTATGCAATTTCCTTTACAACGAGATAATCCTGAAGCTGATGCAGAAAAAGAGCAATTTTCACCCAAGAACAGTATCGTGTCACCCAAGTCACGGACCACAATCCACTTCTTACTTCCATCATCTCTCAGCTTGAAAACCTTAAACCCAACTGTTTTTTCATGTAGAATACTTTCAGGATTTTTATCATCCAAAACAAAATTCTCTTTGGAGTCTATGGTTAAGTACATATCGACCAAAAACAGCTCACCATTGGATTCCACCAAAATCTTCTTGTCACCACCAAATACAGGTTCAGCCACCAAAGTGATTTTATCTTGAGATTCCACCAGGAAGGTGGCCCCAGAATTATCAACCGCATAGAACTCCCCTTTAAACAGCATCACATCATCATAAGGCAACACAGAGTGAGGGATCATACTCCACCGCCCATCCCCCGACTTAAACATAGCCAATTTTCCAGAAACATGAATAGTAATCAAAACAAATTCACTGCCATCGTAATTCAAACACTTATAAGCGACTTTCTCCCTATACAAGTCACTGGCATCGCCAGTCCGATTACTCACAGGCCAAAAATTAAGGTAATGCAACACAAATTCCTGACAGAGTTCAAAAGCCGGAAAAATCAACAAGTCCAATACCTTGGGGAAATTTTTCGGCAATGGAGTGTAGCTAGACTTAGACAGCGGATTCGCTAGCTTATTCCTTCCGTACACATCTTCTTCGACCTTGATCAACCAGTCGTTTGAATGCGCTGTTGAGCGATCCATAGGAGATCCAATACGAAATACGGAGCGTTTAGTGAGATAGAAACCCCACGTAGTGTCTGAAATGCCGTGATTTGGAAGAAATGGGAATCGACCTGGTGATCTATGGCGTCTGGGGGAGACGACGGATCTCCAGGAGGAACAGACAGATCGAAAACGCATCGTGTCGAAAGGAGTTTCGAAACATTGGGCAATGAGGTAGAGGAGATCCTTGGGGAGAAGAGACCAATCCGCCATGGATGATTTGATTAAAATCTGGAAGGTGAGAACGAAAATTGCTAATGAAGAAACACTTACAGTGTGCGTGATGAAGTCCCATTTTATAGGTTTCTGACAACGATCGATGGCATTGAGCGGGATGGTCAGGATTGGAAGCATGAATTTCTATTTATTGCGACTTTGGGGCCTAATCAAGAGATTTGGGGATTTAGGGTTATCTTGTAGGTCATGGATTATGATCGAAATAAGTAAAGCTGTAACGGGTGATAATTTGTATGAATAAGAGGAGCGATTATGATAGACTATGTAAGATTACTAAACAAGGCTTACGAGATAACCATTTTGAGTCCATTTGTATAGTTTAGTTTGAATATTGTGTGTCCACTGTGTGAGGAGGCTAAAAACATCGGGACTTGACGAGTGTGACTAGAACGATCGGAGGAGCTGAGCTGATGATAATAGACATATAACAGCCGAAACCCACCAGTTGGAGAGGGAAACGAAGCATTCCTTATAAGGGTGTGGAAATCTCTCCCTAAGAAACATATTTTAAAATCGTGATACGTAAGGAGCCAAAGCAAACAATATTTGCTAGTGGTGGGCTTGAGCCATTACAAATGGTATCAAAGACAGACACCGGGTTGTATGCCTGTGATGATGCTGGGCTCAAAAGGGATGGATTATGAGATCCCACTTCGGTTGGAGAGGAGAACAAAATATTTCTTACGAATGTGTGAAAGTCTCGCTAACATACTCATTTTAAAACCGTAAAGCTGACAGTGATACATAATAGGCATAAGTAAACAATATCTGCTATCGGTGAACTTGAGCTGTTACAAGACAGACTTGATAAAGTCACGATGGTAGGCAGACTCGATCAGAGAGAATGAAGCTTCAATGCTAATCATAAGTTGTAATGATTTACGGCCATTAATTTAGACATTTCAAAATTATTATTAAAAAAACTTTTTTTTTTTGCATTTTTGCATTTTTGGCGATTCCCACATCGGAAGATTGGAAGATGAAAAGGCCTGTTATGGCTATAAAGCGAAACCGTGGGCATCAGGTTATGGCATCTTTGCGCTTGGGGCAATGACGCAGCTAGTGAGGTTCTAACCGAGGCGCGTCAATTGCTGGTTGAAAACTATTTCCAAACCCCCTCTTAGGCCTGGGTTTGCCTCAGGCCTAAGAGAATTTCTGGAAGGGCTCCCTTCGGGGTAAGGCCCTACAATTCTTCGCTTCTAAATTTTATATTTATTTCTTGGGGCTTTATTACCGGATGACCCTACGAAAATATCTTATATAATAAAGTATTATTGTACCCTCATTAGAGGGATAGTTAACCATCCATCACTGTATTGGTTTGCATCTTTAAGTCTTAAAATTATAAAATTATAATGTACAATATGTTCCTAAAGTGATTATAATTCTAACACCTACTCTCATAAGAAATAAAATAAAATTCTAAAATTGGAGACTAGTTTCAATTTTACATATATATCAATAGCCAATATTTCGGTAAATAAATAAATTACAAAAATTATTCACATTTTATGATATTTATAAAAGATGTCGAAGACGTTTATAAACCCTCTAATTTATGAATATATCTACATACCGATCATATGAACAATACAAGCTAGGATTCCTTATATAGAAGCCTTAATAAAATAATTTACATTAGGGAGAAGAAAAAAAAAAAAAAAAAAAAAAAAAAAAAAAAAAAAAAAAAAAAAAAAAAAAAAAAAAAAAAAAAAAAAAAAAAAAAAAAAAAAAAAGAGGGTGCATAAACGTCGTACCATTGTAGTGTAAGACCAAATGGATCATTGTTTAGAGAGGCTATCGTTAAGGATCTTCTTCACTTGAAATGGATGGGTTTTCTTTGATTGTAAGGCTCAATACAAAGGCCACCAACTACAAAATAATGCATGAAAAGAATTTCAAGTAAAAAGCATAGTAATAAATTGCAGAACTTTGAAGTGAAATTTTATTTTAACTTACTGTAAAAAATCCGAGGCATAACAAAGTGAACCCAGGAAACTGAAATGGAGCATTCTTGGATAAGAAAAGAGCTGACAAAATTGAGGGAGTCAGTATATCCATTAACTTCACACTTTATCTTAAAAATATATATATAATTTCCAATTTTTTTTTTAAAAAAAAATCAATTATCTTCAGTTTTTAGTTAATAATTTATTTAAAAAATACTCTTGGTTGGATGAAGAAAGTCTCACATCGATTAATTTAGAAAATGATCATGAGTATACACTCTTCATTTGTATGAAGCCCTTTAAAAAAACACAAAGCATATTCAAAATTGATAATATCATATCATTGTAGAGAGTCGAGTTCGTATTCCTCTAACACTCTTCAACTTTTAAAAGAGTTTAAAAATACATTGAAATTCCAAAAGTAAGGTATTAATAAAATTTCAAAATACTATCCGTTAACATTAATTGTAAGTGTATTTTTTGAACTGTTTTTTGAAAATTTAAGTATAATTCAAAGCCTTGAAAGTTTTAAATTTTAAAATAAAGTCAAATTTTTTATTAATTTGGCCTACAACTTTACGTACCTGCTAGAGGGTTGAAAACTAATGGAGATATGGCGTAAGCAAAGCTTTGAATGCCAAAAATGCAACCTTGAGCTTTTCCCTAATGATGGAAACATTAAGTTTTTTAGATCGAAGTTTGTTCAAACAAGAAAAGTATTGTTTAATGAAGCATTTACATACCTGTTCTTCAGCCTCAACCTGCTTTGATGCAATACTGCATGCCTGTTTAACTACTATGCATTAAAACCCAATATTTATAATTGAAATATATAGCAAATTATATTGAACTTACTGCGGGCATTACGCACCAAGCAAGAAGAAAAAGTGTAGATGAAGCATAAACAACCTGCATTCATTGGAAACGTTTTGAAATTCACAAACAATTCAAAAGAAGGTGAAATTCAACCGATTCAAATGTTATATCCTTGACCAATATTGTAATAGTCTAAAGTTACTGCTAGCAGATATTGTCCGTTATGTATTGTTATTAGCCTCACGATTTTAAAACACATTTATTAGGGAGAGGTTTCTACACCCTTAAGGAATATTTCGTTCCTAATGTGAGATCTCACAAATATACTCGAGATTTGAATCTCCTCCTCCACAAAAAATTATTTAAAGGGTCATACAATAAATAATTTTCTCTCGACCATCTCCCACGTGCCACAGAACTTGCTTAAGATAAGATGGCATACGATCCTTAAATAATAGGTACGACCTTAAAAGTTCAAGATTAGGTTAGAAACACCTCGTTTATAATCTACTTTCAATAGAGATAGGGGGAGGAATTACCCAAAATGACCAAGCAATGCTTAAGATTAACAACTGCATGAAAGGGCAAAATGGTCAGATGACTAAAATTAGGAAGTTTAAGATAAAGTATTAAGCAAATATAGTCAATATACATTTATAAAGGTGGCAAAGAGAGCGACTGAAAGCAAGTTTTTATCCCCGATCACAGCTGATAAGAATGATGCCACAATGGACTGCAAAGTAGTTATGCTCCATTATTCAGAAGCTAAACCTATAATTTGAACTTAAAAAGCGTACCTGTGAAATAGCTCCAAAAGCCCCAATGAGTATCAATAAGCTAGCAAATTGATCTTTGTTGGAGAGAAAACGAGCCTTGAAGTAGTACTACACCAATTTATCATAATTCAATTTAACAAAACTATTAGAAAAATGTACAATTCACTGAGTTTACCAAACTTATAAGTCAGAAATTAGGTTCCGTTTGATAATCAATTGAATCTAAATTTTTAGTTTTTGAAAATGGTATTATATTGAGTTTCATTTTTTAAGAAAAATTTTGAAAATTCACGAACAGAAAAAGAAAAAGTATTTATATACTTAGTTTTCAAAAAACCAAATAATATCTAGAACTTTGGCAAATTGAGATAAACAAACTCACATTTTATCTAGAAATACATAAGCTTCCTAGATTGTCTAAAATACGTAACATTTAATGTTGTATTAGTTGTAAAAGTTGGGAGAAAGAAAGTGTACCAACAACGATGCTTGTGTCCAACCCAAAGCTATGCTGTTGAAGAAACAAACTGCTAATGTTCGTGAAAATGTTGAGCTAAAAACACAACACAACACTTAAAATATGGTCAGATTAATATAAATAGATAACAACGAGGAATAAGGACGACAACAGTAATATAAAATTATATTAAATAATTTATTGATGAATGTTGGTTGAACATTTAAATTATATTATAATTTATAGAATATTTTTAAAGTAAATTTAGGATTATTCATTTAGAATTTTTTTACAATAATTTTTATTATGATTGAATTTTTTTTTTAATTCCCGCCAAAATAAATGAGATACGAAATTCAAATTTCATGTTTAGAATTTTGACAATTTACAAAATTAAATTACCTAAATCCACAAAAATAAACTATGAAAAATAAGGAAATTGAGAATTAATTACCTTCTTCCAAGCAACGATGTGATTTCCTTGAAAGAGGGGATTGTTTTGGCCGTAGACGGAGGCAATTGGGGAACATTATCGGCACCGTCTCCGTCTTCCTCCGTCTTCAAAATCGGCCGAGACAACAGATCCATTTTATTCGAAACACTTTCTTCTAGAAAAATCCTCACATACGCAATCGCAAACAACGACGCGCACACAGCGACCTAATTACGAAACAGTCAAATCCATAACCAAAAACACTAAATCAGAACTCAAATTCGAATCAAACGATCTAAAACGAAAGCTAATCGAACGAAGAACCTGAAAGATCACGTCGATTGAAAGGAATCGAGCCACCAAGTTTCCGCACAAGTAAGAGCCAGAAAAAACTGCCGATACGATTCCGAACGCAGATAATCGCTGATCCACTAGAACTTTGTCAGCCTGAGAAGAAAAAGCGAGGAGAGTTTCGATTTCAGACACATTCCTGCTATGGAAGATCTGGCGGAGACGGAGATTCAAGTACCGCGTAAGCGAGGGCGAGGGAGATTAAGGTGCCGCCGGTGAGCACGGCGGTAAAAGTCCTTACCACATAGTATGCGTAGAAGAAACTTTTACTTCTTCCAAATGCCAATATCGCTAAAGAAACAAATGAGTTAATAAGATTAAAAAAAAAAATTAATCGAAAAAATAATTATGAATAATAATTTTTTATTTACTTTAAAATAACATTTTTTTAACAAAATTATAGATGAAATTAGATATTTTAAAAGCGATTTTCTTAAAAAGAATTAGGGATTTAAATAAATATTTAAAACTTGGAGTCGATAAATTTCAAAATTCAAATTTATTAATTCATTAAATTTTGTTTTCTAATAATTATGAAAATTTGTCAATATATATATATATATATATATGTCTTTCACCTAGCCGAATTAATGACTTTCACATCTAAATATAATTTAATTCAAAACTTTTATTCTATTTAATATTAAAAAATAAAATATCAATCTTATGTTGAAAGTGGGCATAGTTATTAATTATTTAAATAAAAAATTATAAAAAAGATATAACTATTTTTTTTTTAAGAAAAGAAAATGTTAACAATATATTGACAAAGACTGGTTTAAATTTTATTAAAATTATCCAAATTGAAAGGAGATTGAAATGATCATATATAATAATTATTTTGTTTTTAATTTTAATTTTTTAAAAATTAATATTAAAAAAATCATCTATTAGAATATTCTCTCTAATATTAAAATAAATCACCTTTTAGAGAATTTATTCCTCTATAATTAGCTTGAAACTTAATCTATCATAATAAATTTATAACTAAAAAAATTAAAACCTAATTTTATTTGACCATTTGTCGGAATTTATTTGTCATATTAATTATATATATATATATATATATATTTGTGGTTTTCAATTATTTTATTTTTAAAATAAATTGAAAATAAACTATTTCCTAATTATTATTATTTAAGGCGTAAATAGATTAAGTTTCACCTATATAAATAATTAAAATCTCATAAAATTAAAATATCAAATATTTATCTGTCACAATACATTAACATTAATTTAATTACAATAGAATAAAATTATAACTCTTGAGTGGGTTGAGTTGACTTGACGTAAAAAATGTCAATTCACGAACTAGCCCAAGTTTTAAATTTAAAAAATTCTACTCAACCCAAACAAAAATAAAATCTGAATTATTTCTCAATAATGTCGCAAACATTACTTCCACCCCTCATCATATACATGATATAGTTGTAACTCTATTATCGAGTTGGTCGGGTTAACTCGACTTTAAAAAATCAACCTCATGAACTGACTCAAATTTTTTATTTTTAAAAAATTCAACCCAATCCAAATCTAAAAAAAAAAAAAAAATAATAATAATAATAATAATAATAATAATAATAGAATGAGAGGTTACATGGGGCTTCGGGTACCTGTTGGAATGGCAGAGAGAAGGATGGGAAGTGTTAGTAGATTTTTCCTTCCGTATTTGTCGGATAAGCTCCCAATCCATGGCGTCATGACCATTGCTCCCAATCCAATTATCTGTATTTTTTTTTTCCTGTTATTTAAAAAAAAAAAAAAAAAAAGCGCAAAATTAAATGCAATTATAAACTCACTGCGTCTTGGAAGCCAGTGAGGTAGAAGACGAGGGGACACTGGTCTTGGTGGCCGGGACACAGAGCGTCGGTGGTTACGTCGACTATGGTCGGAATAACCACGGCGTAGCTGAATCCGACGAGAAGCACCGTCGCCAACAGGTGGCGGAGTTCGCTTATTACCTCCTCCATCTCCGATTCTCTGGTTCTTTTTGGAGCTCTTGATAATGAAGAAGAAACAGAGAGGAAAGTGGAGTAGGAGCAGGAGTGGGGCGGGGGGGTTTTGTTACCTTATCTTTTCCTATTTAATAATTATATGGTCCTTCCCTTTTTTTTTTAAATTTTTTTTTTTTTCATGTGATGATTATAATTATTTTAAAATTATTTTTCCAACGATGGTAACAGCTCAAAAAAAAAAAATAATGACATCTACCTCCAACATTCGCTACAACAATGATAACGACCTCCAACAATCACGGTGCCAACTTTGGTTCAAGCTTCCGTAGTTTAGATTGATTAATCTAAATTGGTCGAGTTCTCAAGTCATTTAAACACTTTGAACAATCATTCCCTCGTTGAATCAATTTGGTTATTATGATTTATGTTCTAAATCTTATAATTAATTATTTGTTATTAATAATTAATAAATATTTTAAAATTGGATTTATAATATATAGATAAAATTGGATAGATTATACGACTCACTTTGTAATTATTATAAATTATTTAATTAAAATCGTTTTTAGAGATATGTGAATATGAATATTCTATAATATTTAATTATTATTTTCACTTGTTATCTAATGAAATATAAGATATGAGGCTTGTAATTAAATATCTAGAAAATGTATATACTTTAATTCTGACAAGAATTTGACGCACGTGCCGAATTATATCTTGCTGTCTGAAAGGAATTCAAGATCATACGTGTGCGCGTGGCGCCTTCCTACTATCGACCGTACAGCGCGTGAACAATCTACACCACGTTAACGTTTGAATTAAATAAATAATTTTAATGTATTTATTTATTGAATTAAGAAACTGCCGTTATATCTTTTTAAACGGCCAAACAAACTGCCGTTTGTTGTGGTCCATCCACGGCTCACGCGCCTTCCTTTACCGTCAATTTGTCTCACCATCCACCTCGCATTTGTGGTGGCCCAGCCTGGCTGATTATTCTTTTTTGGCCCGATAATAAATTGACACGTGTAAAATTATTGATTTTTATATAGTATTTATATTTTTCTCCGAAAAAAAAAAGTTAAATCCTAGTCAATCATTTGTTTCCTTTTATTTATTTTATTAAAAAAATCAAAAGTCTAAAAACATTATAAATATTTTACCAAACAAAGCAGAATAATTTTCACCATTCGTATGCGTCCACATAATTACACGTCACCCCACTGAAAATAAAGACAGTTACCTTTGTTAAAGGTAGAATAGATCATATTTGTGTATAGTAAGATAATGAGTGATTTACTAGTTTGTTACCAAATCTATGATTTACTCGTTTGTTACCAAATCTATGATTTACTCCTTTGTTACCAAATCTATGATTTACTAGTTTGTTACCAAATCTATGATTTACTCGTTTGTTACCAAATCTATGATTTACTATCTATGATTTACTCGTTTGTTACCAAATCTTTGTTACTAAATCTATGATTTAGAATGTAATCTTCATTATATACATCTATAAATACATAAGGTCGTGACTCTAGATTATTGAGCCATTCAACTTGACATGGTATTAGAGACAAAGGTTTATTTTTTAAATGTCTACCATATCTTCCTCCTCCTCTCCATCCACCATCTCCAACACCGTCTCAACTACCATGGGGACCTTTGGCCCAATCTCTCTACACCATGCTGTCACAATTCGTCTAACCAAAAACAACTTCATCATATGGTGCGACCAGCTCCTCCCCTACCTACAGAGTACGAAGCTTATGGGCTACCTCGATGGCACCAATGCCGCACCTGCCAAGTTGGTCCCTTCCTCAACTACGGCTGGTGCTGAGTTGGTCTCTAATCCGGTCTATAATCAGTGGTATGATCAGGATCAATATGTTCTTAGCGGTCTTCTCTCCTCCATGTCTGAGGAGATTCTTTACGATGTGGTTGCCGCTACTACGTCTAAGGAGGCGTGGGATACCTTGCAACGGATGTTTTCGTCATCAACTCGTGCTCGCACTACTCAGATTCGTGTTGAGCTCGCCACGTCCAAGAAACGAGATCAATCTGCTGCAAATTATTTTCGCAAGATCAAAGGGCTAGCCACCGAGTTGGCCGCCGCCAACTCTGCCTTGCAGGATGATGATGTAATCGCGTATCTTCTCGCTGGTCTTGGCCCTGACTATGATCCCTTTGTCACCTCAATCACTACCAAGAGTGAATCCCTCACGCTTGATGATGTGTTCGCACATTTAATGACGTATGAAGCTCGCCAACTACAACACCAGGCTGAACTTCAGTTAAATCTTGGATCTTCTGCCAATTATGCTGGTCGTGGTGGTCAGCATAAGAATCGTGGGTGTAGGGATCGTGGTCGTGGTCGTGGTCGTTCTCAAGGTTATGCACCCTCTCGTCCTGCTGGTGATCGTCGTGGCCCTTCTACTCGTCCTTCCTGCCAGATCTGTGGCAAAGTGGGGCATACTGCTATCCGCTGCTGGCATAGGATGGATGAGTCTTATCAAGATGAACCTTCTTCTGCTCCTCCTACGACACTGGCGGCTACTTCCTCTTACAAGATTGACCCAAATTGGTACAGCGACACATGCGCTACAGATCATATCACCAGTGACCTAGATCGTCTCACTGTGCGTGAACGTTATCATGGAGGCGAACAAGCTCAAGTCGACAATGGAGCAGGTTTGCGTGTTTTGCATACTGGTCATTCTCTAATTAATACTGCTACTCGTCCTCTTGCATTGCGTAACACGAAGCATGTTGAAGTTGATTATCACTTCGTTCGTGAACGAGTATCGACTCGTCAGCTTGATGTTCAACTCATTTCTTCCAAGGATCAGCTCGCCAATATCATGACAAAGTCATTGCCAGCTCCTTCTTTTAGCAATTTTAGGCGCAGTTGGTAGAGCAGAGGACTGAAAATCCTCGTGTCACCAGTTCAAATCTGGTTCTTGGCACATCATGAATTTGTATGCGTATCTATTCTGCAGATTCATTAATAAAATAGATTATGAAAAATACCGATACATCATGATATCTGGAAATATACCCTTTAACTAAACTATATTTTACTCTATTTATAGATGAGTAAAATACACAATTTTACTGGTTTGTTACCAAATCTAGTGATTTACTGGTTTGCTACCAAATCTAGTGATTTACTGGTTTGCTACCAAATCTAGTGATTTACTGGTTTGCTACCAAATCTAGTGATTTACTGGTTTGCTACGAAATCTAGTGATTTACTGGTTTGCTACGAAATCTAGTGATTTACTGGTTTGCTACGAAATCTAGTGATTTACTGGTTTGCTACTAAATCTAGTGATTTACTGGTTTGCTACTAAATCTAGTGATTTACTGGTTTGCTACCAAATCTAGTGATTTAGAATGTAATATTCATTATACACATCTATAAATATATGATTTAGAATGTCACGTCAATGAGACATTCAATCTAACAAATAGATATTTTTTTAAATAAAAAAAAATGGTTTAAGGTTTTGTTCATCGGAAGCTGCTGCACTCCGACCGTCGGACTCCACGGCCGGAGAGATTTCTGGCGACGGCAATAACGACGGCGCCGATCCACTGGACGCATCTGTGTCCATGGTTCACGAGATTCCGCATGAAGCCGCCATCGGTGGTGGCTGGCGGTGTGAGAGTGAGGTGTAGGTAGGCCAAGGCGGCGTGTTTGAGGAGTGGGTTTTTGATGGGGAGTTCGTTCCAGGCGGAGGCGGTGGAGGGCGGCGGAGAGGGGGTGTCGAGGAGGAGGTCCTTGAGGCTTGTGTAGGATTGAAGAGGGGTCATTTCGATGTCGGAGAGTTCCAGTTCCGGCGAGGTGAGAGGGTGACTGGGCGGAGAATGGGAGTGGAAGAGAGGAGAGAAGTTGTGATGTTTAAATTACGACTAAATTACAATTTTTATAAAATCTTATTAGATTTATTCTTATATTTTAAAATTTTTAATCTGAAAAATAAAAATTACCTACTTTTTTAGAAAATGGGAAAAAAATTCATCACTAATTCCTACAAAAATAAATAAAAATTTTTTTGTAGGAAATAAAGATCAAACAGTCCCATTATATAGACATCTCGATTCGTCAAAAAAAATATATTCGAATTGAGTTAATTTTAAAAATTAAAATTTCAATTACAGACATAATTATTTTAATTTTATGTAATTTCATGATTATTTTTTTAAAAATTTCTTTTTAATTCTTTATATCATAACTTTTCAAAAAATATATATTAAAATTGAGTCGCACATTTTAATTAGCCTTTTAAATCATTATTTAAATATGTAAATATTCTTCTTGGGTTGAATTGGAATATTTAAGAATTTGTATAATATAGAATAAGATTTAATTATATTTGTTTGTTATTATGTTTAAAACAAATGCTATAAAATTGGATTTGGGTGTGTTTGGTATAATTATTTAATACAATCAAACTTTTAAAAGGTAAATGAAAATTGGTTCATATTCATATTAATTTGTGGATATATTTGTCATTTTCTAAGTTAGAAAATGAGAGTTTTGTTCGGATTTTTTTTTTTAAAGAATAATATACGGAAAAAAATCACCTACGAATACTCCGATCCCTGTAAATTCCTCGCGGAGAATCCCGACCCCAATCTCAGAATTTCCATGAAATAAATGATAGAGATGGAGACCTACTTTGTAGACATCTCTAGTAATAGAGCAAAATATTAGCATTTGTTCGAGGTAGAGTTGGATTTTGAATTCGTTCAGAACGGTTGAGCCAAGTGCACTTGATACAGACCGAGCTCATCTCATTCACATCAGCAAAAAACGTCGTACTCGAAATATTTCACAAAAAGGATGGTTGGAGGTTTCATCCTCTTGAAGGCTATGGTGTTTTGTGGCCCTTTCATCCTTTAAGGCTATGGCTTTAAGCCTCTTTGCTGTGTTCATCACGCTGAGAAGAAAGATGGTTGAGGTTAATGGACAGCCAAGATTTACAGAGACAATCCCAAAGATCAGTTATCTATGTTCCCTATGCTATTAGAATATTTCCCAAAAAGCTTGCACAACTCTCTCTCTCTCCCCTTTGTTCCTAGCTGCCATCAACC